GGTTTGGTAAGCAAAGGTAATATGCAGTGTGGAAAGATGGGTGGTCTATATATTATGGAAAGTAAAGAGCAGCAGTCTGTGAGTGTGTCACAAGTACATGATGAACCTTTACATGATAAATGTATACACCAGTTACACAGGGTTATGGGGCATGCTCATTGTCGTTAAGTCGTGTCCGACTCTTCGTGACCCCATGGGCCAGAGCACGCCAGGCCCTCCTGTCTTCTACTGCCTCCCAGAGTTGTGTCAAAGTCATGTTGGTCGCTTTGATGACCCTCTCCAACCATTTCATCCTCTGTCATCCCCTTCTCCTCTTGCCCTCACCCATTCCCAACATCAGGGTCCTTTCCAGGGAGTCTTCTCTTCTCCTGAGATGGCCAAAGGATTGGAGCCTCAGCTTCAGGATCTGTCCTTGCAGTGAGCTAGCTTTGGGCATCTATCCCAGTTAGCAAAGGTATGTCTAGATTTAAACCTACAAAATTGCCCTAGGTTTCTGGAATGTGCAGTATGCCAGAAATCAAAAGTAAAAAAGGTTTCCTGTAAGGAAGAAGACTGACAGAATGTCAACTAGGGCCATTTCAGCTCGTGCGTGCAGATTTGGCAGGACCATTCAAATCCATTGAAGGATGGACGGAATTCATTCTACTAACTGTTGATGATTTTTCAAGGTTTCAAGAGGCAATTATCACAGCTGCTTACATAAGCAACAGGTTGTGGTCAACAGCCACAAGTGAAACCCCCATATTATTTGCTATTTGGTAAAAGGCCTTCACTTAAACATCTAAGGATATTTGGTTCATTTGCACATATTCTGATACCCAATATTAAAAGGAGAACAGGTGAACCTAACTCCCAGTGCCTCAGGTTTGTAGGATATGAGGCAGGTACAAAAGGGTACAGGTTCTGGGCTGGAGGTAACAAAACAGTAATTACAAGAAGTGCCAATTTTGAAATACACCCAGAGTGGAAGGAAATTCACACTAATTTAGACGTATTTATACCTTTTAACACTGAAGTGCAGGCTCAAGTTCAGGCAAATAGTCAACATTCGCCTATGCCAAAGGTAGTTGGCAAAGATACACCCAAAGCCACAGAGACATCCCCTGTAAAGTCTAAAGTTAAACAGGAAGAAGAGGCAGAGAATGTGGCACAAGAGACTGAGGAAATTGAGCAAGGAGTCATTCCTCGCAGGTCAAACAGAGCAAACAAGGGTGAACCACCAGAAAGATTTGCAGTGAATGAAATCAGAGGATGCCAGGTAGGCTGTGAGCCTCAAAGTTATAAAGAAATGCTAGAACTTCCAGAGGATGAGGAGGAGAAATGGAAATCAGCAATGGACTCAAAGTTCGAGCCACTTGTAAAGCAGAAAGTGTTTGAGGTATGTGATTTACGGCCATCACATAGTGCAATAGGTGCAAAGTGGGTGTTTCATTAAAAAAAAGTGTTGCCGGATGGTACATTGAAGTACAGTAGTGCCCCACATGACAACGATAATCTGTTCCATTGAAACCACTGTTTAGCAAATCGTTGTCATGTGAAATCCGTTTCTCCACTAGAATGCATTGAAACCTGTTTAATATATTCCAATGGGGAAAATTCCTCATCGTCCAGTGAAAATTGGCCATAGGGAAGCCATTTTGCGACCCCCGATCAGCTGTAAAAATGGCTGTCCTGAAAAGCATGGGTCTGGAAAACAGCCATTTTGCGAAGCCGATGATCAGCTGTAAAAATCGTCTTGCGAACAAACAGCTCACAAAGCATGGACCAAATCAACATCCAGCAAAAATCCCCCATTGGAATGACTGTGAATCGCTATAGTAATCGGAAAAAGTCATAGTTGTGCGGATTCGTCGTTTAGCGGGGTCATCGTCTTGCGAGGTACCACTGTATAAGGCAAGATTAGGGTTTTGCACAAGAAAAGTTTATTTCTTATAATGAAACATATGCACCCATAGCCAGAAGAGAATCTTTTTGGTTGGCATTATCTCTAGCAGCAAAACAAAATTGGATAATTAATCATTCTGATTGTGACACCACACATCTGAATGCACCACTACAAGAAATTGTTTATATGAAACAAGCACCTGGATATGACTCTAATGAACCCCAAAAGGTCTACAGACCAAAAAAAAAGTCCCTTTTATGGATTGAAACAAAGTGCAAGATGCTGGCATCAGTGTTTGCATGATGCACTGGATAAAATAGGGCTTCAAAAGAAGTGTGACAGACCAGTGTGTTTATACAAAAGGGTCTGGAGATGTGCATGATATTATTGGCTTATGTTGATGATCTGTGTATTACAGCTAAGTCAAAGAAATTAGTACAACAATTTCCACAGCAACTTGGTGAACGTTTCAAGTTAAAAGATCTGGGAGAAGTACAGTACTATCTAGGCATAGATATACTGAGGAACAAAAATGGTGATATTTTCTTAAACCAGAAAAGGAAAATAGAACAGTTGATAACAAAATTTGGATTAACAGATGCAAGGATAACTAAGACTTCCATGTCACCAGAATTCCTGAAAAGCATAGGGGGTGGATGCTTTCAAAAGGTGGAATTGTATCAGTCTGGAATTAGACGTTTGTTATATCTAGCATTA